ATAACGCATAAATTCTTTCCATCACGCATTAGTAAATCTTTTCCCAATTCTTCAAGAAACCATTCCCATGTCTCCCTTGTCTCAACCTCCACAATAGCCTATGCAATGGGATATATTTGATCATTTGCATCTCTTCCAATAACGGTTTTATGTGCACTTTTAAGAAATGCACCGTCAACTCCTATTACATGTTTGCATCTAGATAAGAATCCTTTCTTTAATGCACTAAAACAGATGTACATCCTCAAGAAAATAGGATTTATATCTGTTGTTGGTCTAGCACATTGAAGTGCAATATTTACTTCTAGATCTTTTGACCTTAATTTATTTGCATAATCAAATAAGACTTTGTATTCAGCCTCGGCAAAGCAATCAAAGGTCTTTTTCAACTTCATCTTAGTCTTCTTACATTGCACAGGTGTTAACTCCACACCTAAATAATTCTTAATTTCAGTAAAAATATCATTTTTGTTAAAATGTAGAGTAGATGCTCCCTTTGTCTTTACCAAATGCTGGACAACAATAGATGATGTGCAAAGTTTGTTGGTAACATTCACTATACATGTGTGATCAGGACTGAAGGTTTTTACCATCTAAGACTCAGTAGGATTGTCAAATGCCAATAGTATCCTCCACTTACAATTTTGATCATTGCATACTGCCCTTATCCTTTTACTATCATTTTTTCCCCATGCAATCTCTTTCTCTTGTCTAATGCTCAGGTGATCCACAACTTTTTAAAATTGTTTCTTATTCAGAAATATCATGCCAAACTCAATTTTTGGAATGCCTTCAACTTCTTTATACACTTTGTGTCTAGCTTTCCTCCTCCTACCATGGTTTACTTCCTCATCCTCTTCATTACTTGTGGATATGTAACTCACTTCATCATCAGATTGTGTTTCTCCATAATCCTCATCTTGGACTACTACATCTACATTACCTACAATGTGAAATTAACAACAAATATAAATAAAGCAAATTAACTTTAAATGAATAATATAATTTACTAACTAAATATAATAGCTGCTCTTACAGAACTAGAAGCAACCCCAATTTGATTTGCTCTAAAATTCCTTAGATTATCCCTTGCTAGAATAGTCTCATCATCATCATTATCAGACAACCCAAGGACGTCTTCAAGGCCACCTTCATCTTGAGCTTCCTCAGCCACTTTGCAACCATCAGTTTGGACCTTAGCATCATTTTGGACCTTAAGACCAGAAACAAATTGATCCTCTTCCTCTTTGCCATTATTCCTTTCACCAACAATGATAGAATCATAGTTCAGTATATATATAGACAACAAATGTGGGGACCAAAAGTAACTTTAAAACAAATATATAAACATCATATATCCTAATGTCCTTTGTTTCTCTCAATGTTACCAAGGTTTTTAAAACCAGACCGGACTGATCGGTTGAATCGGTCGGACCAGTACCCGATGATGAAAATGGTTTGGTTTACATGAAAGAACTGTTTGATGTCAAAACCAGTCAAAACTGGTCAAAAATTGGTCAAAATCGGTCAAATCAATGAAACCGATGAAACCGAAAAAACCACCGGTTCAATTTCTCATGCAATCTTCTTTCATTTTTTCCAATTTCACCCTTCCCATTCCTTTCTTATACCCATTTTAACCTTTAATTTTAACAAAATTATCAAACACCAAATTAGAAAATCCTGCCTGCAGCCTGCTTTTCTCGTTGGATTTCCTTTGCTGTTTGGATCGATCGGTTCACCGATTAAACCGATTGAACTGATTAAATCAAGAACTGAACCTGAAAACGGTTCAATGACCGGTTCGATTTTAAAAACCTTGAATGTTACTCATATACCCGACCAACCCAACCCTTGTTCCAAAATATTCTAACATGATAAAGCCAAACAACGAAGACATTGTGAGACAATTGAGAATCAAGAAACAAAACATATTGTATCCTCGATATCCATAGACTCCAAGTCTATAACTTCTTGAGGTACAACATCTGGTTCTTTGGGGTTCTTTTGCCTAGTATAATGGTCCATGTGAGCCTAGCTTTCTAGACTAAATTGAAAAGATTTGATGGAGATTTATGCTTGAAGCAAATTGCAAACTTTGTAGGTTTTAGGGTTTGAGATCAAACAAGGAAAGAGAAAGAGAAAGGAAGAAAGTTTCATCTTTGCAGACCAAAACCCTAGAAATATAGAAACATTTTAGGTGGACCCCACTAAAGGGAAGGGTGAAAGTAGTGGGAATCTGACATGAATAACAAAAATGCTACGGTAAGTAAGTTATTTTCCACGTCATTAAAGATTTAAAACAAAAATTAATTCCATGGCAACTTAACATGCCATTTGGCACTTCCGTCGACGAAAGGACTAAATTGGTCCCAAAAATTGAAGTTTAGAGACAATTTTATTACTTTTTAAAGTTCAAGGGTAAATTTGGTTTAAAAATGAAAGTTAAGGGACCAAATTAGGTATTTAACCTGAAATAATAGTTTGTAATCACAATATGTGGAAATGATTGCACCGGGAAGTTGCATTAGTCGGAATGTCTGTAGAATGTTGCAAGAGAAGTGGGCAAACCAAAAATAGTCTTGTATAGCTATATAAACATTTTGCGCATCAGGTGGGAAAGGCTATATGTGTTTAGAAAGTAGAATAATGTAAGATTGGGCTGACTGCTCCTTTACTCAAAATGTAATAATAATAATTCATTTTGCTGTAAAAAAAAAAAATCTGGAAATGATGTAATTAATATCAACAACACCATAATACGAATTTTATTTCTTAACAACAATATCAATGAACATAACATAAAGTATCGTCCTACATATCATAAATGACAAAA